ATCATTAGGTGTGCATGTGGACATGGTTCAGTTCCTAGGCTGCTGGCTTTATGATCGTGATGGGGAATTATCTCCTCAGAAGATCAGATCCTGGACACATGGTTAGGATTGCCTAGTAAACAATGCAATCATCCCACTTGAAGGTTCATTGATTTTTTTCTTTTATACCGAAACATCAGACACAGCCAACTAGTTTCAGGATAATGGCCTCCCCCTTGTCCAAGCCTAACATGCAATGAATAAAAATACAATGAATAATACCATCTAAGATACAGTATAAAATAGTAATATTAAACAATGACATAAAACACGAAGAAAGCAATAAAAATCTAATAAAATATATATATATTGGTAATAGTATATATAGTAATCCATATAAATAAAATTAATTAAATCTACTGCCATATAACAGTGATAAGAATAAAAGAGGGCAAAATACAATAAAAATATAACTAATCTTACAGCAGTTAGTGATTGGGTTATCAAAATTATCTAGAAAGTAATTAAAAGATATAATATACAGTTTACATAATATGAGTTGCATGGAAAAATAATAGAAATTAATATGTTTGTAAAGACTAAAGTGGCCAAACCATGGTAAAATTTTATGTTTATGGTTAAGTTTTAGAAGGGATAGAAAGAAGAGAGGCTTAACGTGTTCCTAGATCCAAAAGTAAAATGTATTATATTGCACCTTACGAATCCTTAAATGTGTTGACATTTAGTCTTCTCTTTTTAGCTTTGTTTCCTTTATTTTCACCTGATGATCCAGTCAGTAAGTCTGTTATCTTTCAATTTTCTTTAACGGACCAAGCTATCCAGCAAAAGTGGTATTTAGAGGATTGAGACAAGACATTTAACACTGACAGAAGTGGTTAGAATAGTTAGCTTTAGATACAACATAGAAACAAATATATGGACTCAAATCAGTCAAAATACTTCAACATAGGTACCAACATTCTCATTAATGACTACATATTTTTTTATTCAATCGGTGAGACTTTCAAGGTATCAAGAATGTCACACATTAATCTGTGCATTGCCATGTAACATGCCTCATGTTTGAACACAAACAGAATGTGAGGATTTACACTTCTATAAGCTGTGCACACAGGTCAACAAATGAAACCATGAAACTACACGATTAATGCACATCTTGTGCAGGTGAAAAATACAAGATGCAAGTACTACATTTTATAATTCCTTTAAAAATGGCAAGAGTGGAAAAAAATATATACATATCTTCATGATTCTAGTGATGGGCCGAAAACACTCCCTACACACCTAATGAATATTCAACCGCGAACTTTGAACTCAACACAAGTCTATGGGGCTCAAACTTGTAAAGTGCCCATTTTGAAGGCTGATATACAAGTTATTGGGCATACAGGGGGTATGGGGACTCGGGTACTGCCCTAAGGGCATGAATCAGTGAAACATAAATTTAAAAAAGTACAGGTTTTAACGGGGCAGTCGTATTTCATTGCAAAGTAAGAAAAATAAAACGAATTAAAATATATATATATATATATATATATATATATATATATATGAAAAATTCCTTTCAATATCATGCCTGGGAGGTCCCCTTAAATTACCTGCAAAGTTGAACATCTGTACAACGTATAAAACCTGCTGCAGTAGGACTTTTTTTATAAAAAAAAAAACAAAAACAGCATTGGGTCCTGCCCTTAATCCATACCAGACTCTTTAGTTCTGGTAGGAAGGTTAGGAGGGACCCCACAGTATAATTTTTTTTTTTTAAAGTGTGTGGGGTTCCCCCTAAAAGCCCTACTAGGGCTCCTCTGGGATGGTACCAAGGAACTTTTGGACACCTTCATTACATGTTTGGGGACAAATGATTTCAATTTGTCCTTTACAATGACATGTGATCCCAAGTGTATCTCATTTTTTTTGGATATGGAGATCTTTATATGGGAAGACCATACTCTAGGGTCCACCCTGTATCGTAAGACCACAGCTGGAAATACTATTTTAAGGGCGAATAGTGGCCATCTGCAGAGTTTAATTAGATCCATATCATACAGTCAATATTTACGCCTCAAACATAATTGTTCTAACCAAGAAGATTTCCAAATGAGAGGTTGAAGCATTAAAAACTAGATTGCTTGCTTGCGGCAATTCAGATAAAATGTTTGAGAAAAGCATATCATCATCAGCAATGACATATGGACTTAATCTTTCAAACACCACGTCCTAGGTCAAACACAGGGATTACTACCAAACTAGTCATGCGCTACAATAGACAACAGCAGCAGACTCGTCATGTTATTGACAAATACTTGTATCTCCTCAAAACTGACCCTGCTGTAGCTGCATATGTAAGGGACAAGGCCAAAAATGCATTCCAAAGGCATGCATTGGTACAGAGTCATTTTGTTAGGCCAGGAAATACAGACCCATGCCACCACAAGGGAACCTTTATTTGTGGCAGATGTGCTTATTGCCAATATATTTCTCAGGGCAAAAAACATATACTGCCAAATGGGGGGTTGCATGAAGCGCAACACTATGTGGACTGACAAACTGCAGTCATCATCTATATGATGACATGCAGTTGTGACAGTTTTTATATTGGTAAAATCAAACGTAAGTTTTGGAAAAGAATTTATGACCATGTGTCAGTTATTCAATTGGGAGATGTATCATCCCCTATATACCCTGTTCCAAATTATTATGCAAATTCTATTTAAGTGTCACACAGATTAAATATTTGGTTTTTCAGTTTAACTCATGGATGGCATTGTGTCTCAGGGCTCTTTTGATCACTGAAAACAATCTCGGACACCTGTGATAATTAGATTGGCAGGTGAGCCCAATTTAAGGAAAAACTACTAAAGGAGGGTGTTCCACATTATTAAGCAGAGCACCATTTTCAAGCAATATGGGGAAGAAACAGGATCTCTCTGCTGCCGAAAAGAGTGAAATAGTTCAATGCCTTGGACGAGGTATGAAAACATTCGATATTTCACGAAAACTTAAGCGTGATCATCGCACTATTAAGAGATTTGTGGCTGATTCAGAGCACAGACGGGTTCGTGCAGATAAAGGCACATTGAGGAATATTTCTGCCAGATCCATGCATCGGATCAAGAGAGCAGCTGCTAAAAAACAATTACATAGCAGCAAACAGATATTTGAAGCTGCTGGTGCCTCTGGAGTCCCACGGACATCAAGGTGTAGAGTCCACCAGAGTCTTGCAACTGTGCAGAAACCTTCTATTCGGCCACCACTAACCAATGCTCACAAGCAGAAACGGCTGCATTGGGCAGAAAAATACATGAAGACTAATTTTCAAACAGTCCTGTTCACTGATGAGTGCCGTGCAACCCTGGATGGTCCAGATGGATTGAGTAGTGGATGGTTGGTGGATGGCCACCCTGTTCCAACAAGGCTGCGACCTCAGCAAGGCGGTGTTGGAGTCATGTTTTGGGCCGGAATCATAGGAACAGAGCTGGTCAACCCCTATAGGGTCCCCGAAGGTGTAAAGATGACCTCTGCAAAGTATGTGGAGTTTATGACTGACCACTTTCTTCCCTGGTACAGAAGGAAGAACTATACTTTCCGTAATAAAAATCATCTTCATGCATGACAATGCAGCATCTCATGCTGCAAAGAATACCTCTGCATCAATGCTGCTATAGGGATAAAAGGACAGAAAGTCATGGCGTGGCCTCCATCCTCCCCTGACCTCAATCCTATTGAGAACCTTTGGAGCATCCTCAAGCAAAACATCTATGAGGGTGGGAGGCAGTTTACATTCAAACAGCAGCAAATTCAAGCAGAAACTGTCCAAAAACTCACAAGTTCAATGGATGCAAGACTTGTGAAGCTGCTATCAAATAAGGGGTCCTATGTTAAAATGTAACGTGACCCGTTAAAATGTTTAAAAAGTTAAAACGTTGTTAAAAGTTTGATTGAAATAGCTTTTGATTTCAGAAAAATATGCCGCAAACAATTTTCAGTTCTTTACAACCTATAAAGTGTTTTGAAACTTACTGTGCGTAATATTTTGGAACAGTGCATTGTAAGTTTTTTATGTTTAAAAAAAATACTGTTATCATTAGGAGGTTTGTGCAATAAAATGTGAATTGTACTCTTAATAGTTGATAACATGAGAATTATGCTGACTGTTATTTACATCAATTATTTAGGTAAATGAGAAAAATATTATTTGCATAATAATTTGGAACAGGGTGTAGAAAGACATGAAATTCACAATGTGTCAGGTTCTTTGCCCTTGAAAGAGTTCACCTTGACCCTAGAGGTGGTGACTAGGATCTCCACATTCTTCAGAAGGAGGCTAGATGGATACATAACCTAGACAGCACACAATCCCCTGGTCTGAATGACTCGTTAAGGTTCAAACCATTTTTTCCTTAAAGCACCAGTTTTGTCTTTTTTTTCTTCTTTTTTTTTCATAATCAGCCATCATATTTCTAGTTATTTGTACTATTTACAACTACTTTGTACTAAATGTATTATTATTTAATATATTATTAGTTTTAGTTTTATATTATTAGTTTTCTTCACTATTATGTATTTTGATGTATGTAATTGTTGTGGTAATTCTTTAAAGAATTTTCTTTGTTTGTTTTGTATTATAGAGATTATTATATGTTTATGACAAGATGGCAATCACAACCAATATACGAGGAAGGCTACAATGGATCCATGACCATTCATACTTTTTTTTGTTGCTTGTGGCCAATATATATTTTTTGCTTTGCGGTCCATATACCGTATTTTTTGCTCCATAAGATGCACTTTTTTCCCCTCAAAAAACGGGGGAAAATGTCTGTGTGTCTTATGGAGCGAATATGGAGTGGCAGGTCCGATATTCCAGCCGCCGTATTAGAATACCGGGCCGGCCGCTAGGCTCTACTGTGAAGAAGAACCTGATCCTCCATCCTACCTGTTCCTCAGTCCAGCAGTGTCCTGCTTCCATCGGCCGTCTTCCCTCCCACCAGCATCTTCAGTGTGGGCACCTGGCTGTGACAGCTTGCAGATTCACAATTGGGTTCCCACTGTGCATGTGTGAGAAGTGCTGCGCTTTGTGAATGGCCCCTTAGTCTTGTGGGACCTGTCACATGTCCCACAAGACTATGGGGAAGGAGGGGGGGAGGACAACTCCACGGAAGTGGGAGCAGGTACCTGTCAAATTCAGGTACCCGTCTCCCCCTCCCCAAAGGTCATCAGTCTCTGGTCAACTCTTGTACTATGTCCACAGTCTTTGGTCAACTCCTGTACTATGTCCCCAGTCTCTGGTCATCTCCTGTACTTTGTCCACAGTCTCTGGTCATCTCCTGTACTATGTCCGCAGTCTCTGGTCATCTCCTGTACTGTGTCCGCAGTCTCTGGTCATCTCCTGTACTATGTCACCAGTCTCTGGTCATCTCCTGTACTGTGTACACAGCCTCTGGTCATCTCCTGTACTATGTCCACAGTCTCTGGTCATCTCTTGTACTATATCCGCAGTCTCTGGTCATCTCCTGTACTGTGACTGCAGTCTCTGGTCATCAAAAAAAAAAATGTAAAGAATTGAAACTACATGCACTTGTCAAATAGGTGCAGAAAGATTGGGCCTTGGGTGTTGGTGGTGCCTGAACACTGTAACCCCTTACAGTTACTCTTGCTAGGTGCAGGAATGGGCCCTGCTGTTAAAAATTAGAAAAAAAATTGTAAAAAATTGAAATTACGTGCAGCTGTCAAACAGGTGCAGAAAAATTGGGCTTTGGGTGTTGGTGGTGCCCTATACCAAAAACATTGTTGGAAGCTAGCATAATCAGGAATAGGATAGACAGCATAGGCAGTCTTCAAGATATTTCCTCCTCTGCTTCCTCTGCGAATAAAAAAAGTATCACGTCAGTACTCAATTGTTTCTGTCGCAAGTGTACTAATACGGCTCATCTCAGCTAAAACACAAATGGACGATGTTCAGTGAACACACAAACAGCTTACTTTCGAGTCAAACTTACGTCCAACTCAAACATCAAAACCATCCCTAGCGATTTGACATAAGTCAATTGTCTCATTCAGACTATGTGGTGAAAGGATATGAAGTTGGTGGATCCAGTAGGTTTCTCCCTGGCACAGCCTGCTCTCTTATTGTAGTTGATAGACTGAGAAATATGGTCAATAATTATAGATGCAATTATGTCAGAATTTCTGTTGTGATGGGTATAGACATGTTGGAGATTGGGTGGGGACCCGTGGTCTGAGAAACCTTTTCTGATTTTCTGATATTGAATCTGTGTAAATTAAACCTATGGTGGAATGTCGGGATTGCTTGACCAATATACTACAGTTAGCAAGGGCAGGTGAATAGGCAGGTGAATAGGTAATCAATATACTGAGTAGAGCAGTTAGAGTGGGATGTGATAGTCCGGGTTACTTGGGCGCTGGTGGACTGAAACTTTTTTTTTTCCATCACTCACAATTTTGCAGCTGAGGCATCTTCGGGTATTGCATCTAAAGAATCCTGCGTTATCTATTGAGATGGGATCATTATGGATTGTTTGGCAGTGGTCATGTGGGATGTACGCAGAATATCATTATTATGGAGAGATTAAGGATCTTTACTTTTTCATGTGATTCTAGACGATCTTTACAACCCAATCACTGGATCTTTCCTGTGAGATTAGTTATATTATTATTGCATTGTACCCTCTATTAATACTATGACTACTTACAGGATAGTGAAATTAACAGTTTTTTTATATTTGGATGATTATAAACCTTAGTTAATAATATATTACTTTAATATTTTTATTATAAGCTTTTATTGTCTTCTACATGTTTTATACAACTGTTTATATGACTATTATATATCTACCTGTTCGCTGTACCTGACATTTCTTTGCAAATAAAAAATTGAAACAAACCTGAAAGTGAGATAGTTATTTTTTTGCTAGGTTCTCCTAACCACATATTCAGGATTCACTATTCTGAGTATAAGAGTACATAACTATTACTGTCAGGGGATGATCATGGCATGTCACTATGCTCAACCAACTTATTAGAGGATGGACAGAAATATTCTCACCTATCAATCCTGGGGGAGGTATCCACTTGTCTGTAGCAGCCCTCAGAAGTCTGTGTGAGAGAGTTGTAATAAGTTTAATCATACCTAACTCAAATAAAGACCTCACTCAATAATCATATTGCTATATCCATGGGAATAGGTAACCTTTACACATTTCTTGAATTGACCAAATAGCACAGGGCTAGAATACTGAAACAGTTCCAGAACTTGGCCTGATTCTATTACGTACAGTAACATCAGACAGACAGAGCTTATAATGTCTTCTCAGCTGAAAGGAGTCCAACATGGCAGAACCCCACTGTAGCTATGTGCACTGAACAGTTATAAAGAAAGATGAACCTGTTAAAAAGTGGATATTCTTGACATTAAAAAACACAGGAAAATATGCTGGCAATGTGAGTTTTATCCTCTGTTCTTGTATTTATTAGCTATGTGTTAAATTTATCTAAAAATTCCTGTGTGTATGAAACCTTATTTTCCCTTAACCTTTCCTTCCTGCGCTGCCATGGTTACTTGAAGTATTGCTCATGACACTTCTAAAATACTGTAAAACCTTCAGCACTGAAAGAGCCAAGTACAGCGTCTATCCTCTCTACACTCTTCCATCAAAGCATTATGCATACTATTACATTACTTACACATTTCAACCTTTTATACCCATCTGTGCTTCTCTCAGGAATTCACATAAAGTAAAGTTTGTCTAAAGGAAAGAATCTTGTCCATACCCTCCAATACAACCCACTTTGCAAACATCCTTTGTTCAAGGGAATGGATTCTTAAGTAGCAATAAATGATGAATAGTGTGAAACCACTTAACAAATATTTTGACTTAAAGAAGAGGAGAAAATGTACTGTCCTGGCTACTATTTTGCTCATACAGAACATGGCCCAGCCAAAAATGTAACAGGCCAAAATTTCCACCTCTCCGAATTTTTACCAGAATCTTAAAGACCAAATCAAAATTTCTTTTAACATAAAGAAAGAAAACATTATGGTAAAGCAACACATAAAGAAACCAAAGGTAACTTCTGAAGATTCTGCTTAATATTAACATAGCAAAGCTGTCATAAATCTTCCAAAGATAGGTCATGGCCTTCTGTATTCAGAATACATCATAGTTGAAAAAAATTATCTATCTGGATATCAAGAGTACAGGAAAAAAAGATGTCAACCTAACAAATCTATAGTCCTTGCTAAATATTAGCAAAAAAAAGCAAGGTGCTGAGAACCATTAATTCTCGTTGCAATTTATCCGTAGAGACATCACAGCAAATAAACGATGTTGAAGATCAAATATGTTCAGGAAACTAAAAGATTTTGTGGTGAGGAAAGATGTTTCCAGTTCTAAGATTGTTATCTACTCCTTTTGTTTAAATAGCAGGCACCCAACAGAACATTAGAGAATAGTGCACATCTTCGCATAAACTTTCATTTACTTGACATTAGAAAGCCCCCTTTTCATATAAAGCTTTAAAGCTTGCCTTCAGGATATCTATTGGCTGTTTTTGTCCTGTGAAGACCACCAGTAACCTCAGCCTGCTGTTTATATGCTGGATGACTAATCACCTTAAAGTGGTTGTAAAGGCTCAAGGCGATGTGCAGGAGAGCCTCAGCAATCCGGGGACTCTCCTTCCTCATTGGCTGAGACAGCAGCGGGAGCCATTGGCTCCTGCTACTATCAATCACAGTCAGTGAGCCAATAAGGAGAGAGAGGGGGTGGGGCCGAGTCACAGCTCTGTGTGTGAATGGTCACACAGAGCATTGGACCAGGAATTAGACTGCTTGGGTGCCCCCATAGCAAGCTGTTTGCTAGAAGAGAGGGACCAGGAGCACCAGTGGGGGGACCCAAGAAGAAGTGGATTGGGGCTGTTGTGTGCAAAATCATCAATTATTATACAGAATTTATATAGCGCCAACAGTTTTGCTCAGCGCTTTACAATATAAGGGAGACAGTACAATTACAATACATTTTAGTACAGAAGGAATATAAGGGTCCTGCTCGTGGAGCTTACAATCTAAAGGAAGGGGGAGGTGATACCAAAGGTGATAGCTGCGGGGGATGAATATCATGTTTGTTATTTTTAAAAAAATGCCTTTAATATCACGCTAAGCAAGCCATAGATTATACAATTTTCTTTCCTTCTACTACAAATAGAAGGGAAAAAAATTGCTTTATTCTCCCTTCAACACATTTTGTGTTGCTGGAGGAATCACTGCTACGTCTCTGTTGTGTTCTGCCAGCAGGAAGCCTTCCCTGTCAGCAGAACACAATAATCATTGCTAGCGACTATAACTGATGATTTGCTCTTGTTTCTAATGTTTATTCTGCTACATTCCACCTTGTCCTGCATCCACTGATCAGTGTACTGTGGATCATGTCTAGACTTTAGTGGAGCCGACTTACTTGCACCTTGTGCATGATCACTTGTGCATTTTATACATGACTTTTTGTGTGCACTTAAAATGGAAGATAGCTATCTTCATTGGGATGAAGACATGACTTCTGAGAAGCATAGGCTTATTTACGACCAATAAACCAATACTTATCTCCCCAAAAAGAAATGGAAGCTGATTATGTTTGAAATAGGGCAAGGCCACAGCTTTATTGAACTTTCCAAATGTAACAATTTTCCAAATATACCGAACAACAATGCTAGTCAAAGTTAAACTGTGAGCACCCATAAAACATAAACAATAATCATTGCTAGCGACTATAACTGCCGAAAGAAACCATATGCAAAAAATCCAAAAGGCTGGTTGTACTGAATTTGATTGATGGATTGATTTCAGTACAACCAGCCTGCCCATAGATGTATTGAATCTTGGCTGGTGCCTGCTGAACTAGTCAAGATTCAATCCATCTATGGCCTGCTTTACCACTCTCCCAGTAGGTCTAATTAGGCAGCTCTGACTTGGTGGCAAAAGTAGAAAGATCCTAGCTGCTAATGATTTGCTCTTGTTTCTAATGTTTATTCTGCTACATTCCACCTTGTCCTGCATCCACTGATCAGTGTACTGTGGATCATGTCTAGACTTTAGTGGAGCCGACTTACTATCTGCCCTGCTGTGCCTCTCTCTGCTTTGCTTCTCTATACCTTGATCCCTGCTCAGTTCAGTCAGTCAGTGTTTCTATTAGAACATACATCTGCAGAAATCTTAGCAGCAGCAATTAATCTTAAACTGGAATTAAACTGCATCTGAGCACCACAAACAAAAAATGCTATTTAATTCATTGTTAATAGTCAAAGCAAACTCACCCGTCCATCCATGTCTCCATGCTTTTTATGCTGAGAAATCATTTTGAAAACCATCCCTTTGCATTCCTGGCACTGGCCATCTTGAGTAAGGGCAGATGCTTCATGCAGCATTTACATCCTGGAATCCATCTGCCCTTAGCTCAGGCATTGGTTGAGCTGAGAACCCTACCGCTCCTCCTAAAGACTTCTGGGAT